AAAAAAAAGGAAATGAATATACACCTAAGAAATATAATAATAAAGTCCTTCAGTAATCCTCACAACAACAAAGCAAGTATGAACAGAACTGTTTGACACCTTGTGAAGATTTTTGTGCAGATTCTTTTCTTACAAGGAGATGAAGTGTTTGTATTGTACAAAACTCAGATGCACATTAAATATGCAAGCTGCAGCCCCACGTTCTCTGGGTGTATGAGGGTAGAAAAACACTACAAGCTTTCTGAAGATTCGTCAATGGCACAGTGTTAAACTCACTACATTGTTATTTACCTTTCAGTGGTTTTAATTCAGCTATTAACAATAATTACAAATGCAGTTAAAGTAATTTTTTGGGTGAGAAACTGTAGATTTAAAAAAAAAGGGGCCATTTCATTCAATCAACAAAAAGATTAAATCCAAACTCCTGTAGTGTTTGTTTCCATCCGAGGTCAGATGCACACGTTTTCAAAGACCGATAACTCGGGAAGGTTCTCGGAACAGAACGCTGATGAGGAACTAGTAACTGCCTCCACCTGAAAACACAGTTTGATGGTGACTCAAACCTGAACAACTCATTCTGTAATTGAACTTGAACTCAAATTCTTGTTGAAGCGATTGTTCAGAAACAGTTTGCCTGAGCAGCAACGGCCGGTTCAGCGTCTGAATTCGGTTTTTTAACGTCTCTCGTGAGGGAGAACATGAGCTCAGGGCCTTTCCTCATATTGATGATCCTCAAATTCCCGAACATTCCTTTTAAATATTAATATTATTTCTCTAAATGACACGTTTGTGGCCGAAAAGGTGTCACTCATCAGCGAGGGAAGAATTTAAAAAGCAAAATCCTCGTTGAGAAGAAGAAATGGTCTTTTATAAAAGTGTGGAAGTGTCAGTTATCTTTACTCTGACTGTGGGGGGAGGAGTTAATTAAAGCTTCATGTAGATTGAGCCGGGTCAGAAAATACAGGAAACATTCGGAGGGCGTAGAGATGGGCAGTGCTGCAATGCTTTTAATAAACGAGACAACCTCAGTCTGGATATTTACAATAAGTGAACTATTTCTGAAATAATAATAATAATAATTATCTATATAAAAAAATACAGGTTGCTGTTACTACCCATCTATACAGCCTCAAAATAATGGCCCATAAAAGTCTAAGTGCGTTTCTTTAATAAGATTATATGTTATTACTCTGCTTTTTAAATCAAAGTTGCTTCTGGCATTCCTGTCCAATAATCACACTAATAATTATTTGAAGGTGAAGCCAATGATGTCATCATCCCCACATCTCTGACGAAGGATACCACAGCCGTCCTCAATAAACGGAACCAGTAAATGCGTCGTCAAGGAGATTAAGTGCGGTAAGTTTAAACATTTCCTTAGTGGATGTTGAACCCCTGAACTTCTGACACGGTGAGTTAACTCACGTGAAGTTCAGTACCCTGCTGCTGCCCGACAGTGTGCGGAAGCCGTGTGTTGAAAACATGCAAAAACCTGCCAGTGTCGAAAGTCTGATGGTTTAATACGGTTTTGGAGAAAGAAGCTAAGAGTTGCAGCCGCTATCCCACGAGACCAGGTCTCCACCTTTGGTCCAAACGTTTCCTCCCGGTGTTAGTCCCACGTTCATGGAACCTCTGGACTCTTGTTGAGGGACCTTTAGATTTATTACAATTGGAACAATGTGGAGTTTGCTGCTTGACAACAATGGTGATTAAACACTTTTGATTCTGTAGAGGCCAGTGTTGTTCTTGTTGATCGACTGGAAAGCAAAAGAGGAGGAAGAGCAAAAGAGGAAAACATCCCAAAAAATAGTCTTTGCCGGTAGCAGCTAGTTTGATGATCAGTCTTAATGTTAAATTATAATAACAAAAACAACTGTGAATGTCCTCCAGGCTGGAAGAGATGGCAAAATAAATTATATTAGGCTGACACGTACATATGTCCTTGCGAGTGAGTGTTTGCGTTGTGTGTGATCCTCACTGCAGAGTCATTTATCCCAGCAGCAGCCCGGACAGGGCGTTCAGGTCTCTCATGTACGGGTTGTCGCTGAGGATGCGGTCGATCCGCTGCTTCTGGTCGGGGAAGATGTCGTACAGCTTCCTCTTCAGCTCCGATGTCTCCCCCGGCGATCGCTGTGGCGGAGGCGAGGGCGACGGGGAGGGTGAGCGGCGTGGTGGGTGCCATTCAGGGGGACCAGAGTGGGGCCAGTGCGCTGTGGGGTGGGGCATCAGGGAGGGAGGAGGCCTGGGCGTGGAGGCGGGGGTTCGAGGAGCGGAGTGCAGGGCCTGGACGTAAACAGGCTGCTGCTGCTGCTGGCAGGTCGGCCGCAAGTCTGGGGGTCTCTGAGGGGGCGGGGTGACTGCAGCTCTTCTGAGAGGAAGACAGCAGAAAATGATGAGTTACAACATTTAGAAACCACGATACTGAGACTTCAACGTGTGTACGGTCTGAACTCTAGACTCACACACCTGTTCTCTTTTCGCATGAAGACGTCCAGGTGAGGTCCGTTTTTACCCAGAGGGTCATCAGGGATCATGAAGTGGTCCTCCACAAAAGTAAACTGAAGCAACCTGTCAATTAGAATTAACATCTTCATTATTTGCTCTCACGGTTTTATAGTGATTGTCAATCTTTTTTGACCAAACCCAACATTTCGGTGTTTTACAGAACTGCTGGTTTTAACAGCTACAGTTTAGTTTTGCTGAAACACATCCATCCTGACGTCCGTGATCTAAGAGAGAGAACGACCAATAGAGGGCGACACAGTCTCACAGAAAACTCATCAAGTCTCTGTCGTCATTCGGCCTCTGGGGCCGTGCTCTGTATGATTTCCTTTAAACCAAGAAAACTTTACATGACAGAAAAAATCTAAACTTTATTGATTTATTATTGATTCAGACAATGATGTTGTCATTTCATGAGCCCAATTATTTCATATGAATACTCTAAAATGATAAACCTGTGAGTTGAATTGTCAGAGCAATAATTTATTTACTTGTACTTTTTTAAATTTTGTTTCTACTCCCTCTTTTGTAAAATTACAATTCTAAAATGTTCTGCCCCATTTTTATCCAACAGGATCTTCAGATTGCTAATCTCAGTCTCTGTGGACTTCCCAGTATCATGTTGTGTTATGGGCTGTGTAAGTGAATGACTAATTGAGCTGTGTAAACGTAACATGCCGTCACCTCTCTTGAATAATTCTCCGCCACGTGTCCGAGGTGTTGACAAAGTCCCTCAGGTTGTCGTTGGTAACAATGATCCCATCTGTTTTTTCTGCCAGGTGGAGCAGGAACCTGACAGAGAGAGAGAGAGTTAGAGTGTGAGTGTGTGTGTGTGTGTGTGTGTGCATTGGATAATCTGGATTTTCCCTCAGTTGAAAGTCCGCAGATGTGAATCCACCAATTCACAGCTAGCGCCCTGTGTGCTGAGTCAGGATGAGTTTCAGGTAGTTCACACAAAAGGTCCTAAAATAGGACTCACAGAGCTGCTGACCTTTTAAATCTACATAGAATGTTCTTATTCATGTCTTCGTGTTAACACAGTGTGGCAACATCCACTCTAATACGTTTTCATTTTAAAACGGTATTTCAAAAATATAAATAAAAAACAAACAAACCACTTCGTTTATCTGAGCAGTTTGTTTATTTCAGTTTAACTGTATAGTAAAGTATTGATTTGCTATCGTGTTTACTCTGAAGCACTGCGGAAGTGCGTTTTGAAAAGTGCCGTATAAATAAAGTTTCTTCTAAGACTGTGGGTGTGTACCTGTCATCATGAGAGGAAATCCTCTGACCACAGACCTCTCTGGACGGAGTGAAGGAGAGCAGCCTCAGGTCTTCCAGCTGGTTTAGAAAATGTTGCTCTGTAATAACGTGACAACAGTTAAATGAGTATAACACCAGACTGACACACACACACACACAATTAGCTGTGTTTGGATGCTGCATGCTCGAAGAGCGTTACTTCAGTTGAGCACATGGACAAACACTTTGCTCAGACACCTGCAGCTCACTGTTGTTGTACCTGTTGTGAATCTGTCTCTCTTCTGACGCCACTGGGGGACAAATACTGTGATCTCTCTGTGGCCCCGCTTCCAAAATGTCTCCACTGCCAGAGCGATGCCTCGACAGGAGAAGAACCGATGAAGGCCGTGCCTGGAGAAGAGGAGCGACACAGTGAGACGAGGATTAGAAGAACAGGTAGACAAAAATGTAAAATATTCCTGACAGCAGTAGAGTGTGCAGATTTAAGTTAAGGTACAAGTGGGTTTGTAAGAATGATCAGTATCAATCAATCAACATTTCATATCTTCTGCCTCATCTACTGCTTGTGACACTTGACTTCATTAATGTCAACGTTAATCAAGCAAAACACATCATCACTGGCTTCGAATCCGCCATCAACCACCAATTCCCAGGCTCCATATGATTTGAATTAGCTGCAGTTTATGAAAGCTAAACTGCTCGATAAGGGACTGAAAAGATTTAGACTTGATCATTTCGGTTGATTTGATACTGGATTTGGATTTTCCCTCGGCAACTCAACCACCAACAGATGTAGTATTGCACAAGAGCGTACTGCATGCAACACGTTGCACAGTGTGACTGTTGGCAGAACAAAGTGTACTATACATACCACAAACTTTCACTCTCCCACTGTGGGATTTTTTTTGATGCATTCATTTCACACTCTATACTGTGGCACTTAAATAAAATGGCAGAGGGTCAGTATTTATGCTGCATTAAAACCTCTGGGTATTATGGGATGAGCAAAAGCAAAAAAAACCCAAAACATTTAAGGTAAAAATAAAGCTCTGAAATCATAATAATGCAGCCAAGTCTACTTAAGACAATGAGCAGGACAGCACCTAACGTCAAACAGACTTTCAGTGGTCTCCATGGCAACAGTAGCCCTGTTAGTCTAGTAGTACTCACAACAAACAGACACACGGCGACGCCTGACCCACATTGTTGAATATGACGTGAACAGCGTGTACGTGCACGTCAGACGGCTGCAATACAACAGCACGGTAGCTACAGCAGACAACCACAAAAACAGCAAAATACAGGGTGAGAAACTCCCAGAGATCGCTCCGGCATCACCGAGCAGGAAGCTGACGAGCCGCAGAGCCACAACACAACCTACTCTTCGAATAAAGATTATTTTTATCGGTGCATTCGAAGGCCTCGTGTGCATTTGTTTAATTCATCTGTGCCACATTAATAAGCCTGGAAACCTGCAGATGATCATCAGCACTTGACATTTTTATAATTGTTGAAGCATTCAAGTTGCACAGCTGTCATCGCTTCCTGTTTTCTTCTTTAGAGTTTCACATTAGAGCTTCTTCTTTGTTTGATTTTTAATAAAAAAATATAATCCAGAGAAAAACGCGTAAATGAATGAAGCTCATGTTAACTCTTCATTCCTCTTCCTCGTCATGTGAATTTTTGTCAGTTACTTCTGCACTGGTAACTTCCCTTTTTAGATTATCCTGTTCAGTAATCTGGCCTCACATGAGCTGTGGTAAAGCACAGAGCGGCCACAAAAAAAAAGTATTCACTCGAATGTATAAAAAAAAAACATGAAAGCATTATTGATCTAATTCATCCACATCAAACTCTGACATTATAAAAGGCCACAGTTTATCTCGTACAATCAGGAGAGAACAAGAGGAGGATTGTGGAGGTCACTGGAAATTTTCTGATGCTGATGAGGTCTGACCTGAATTCAGCATTTGATGGTGTGATAGACTGAAAAAATGGACGACATGACAGTTCCCATAGAGTGAAGCCAAAAACTTTTGATTGCCTCCTGGTGGGTGGCAAATCCTAAACCCTCCTTCCTCCATGTTAGTGGATGGGACAGGAGCCAAGTACACATGTTTTTCTCAAAGATGGTTTCTGTCGTAATAGAAGTCTTTGGTACTGACTCACTGCGGAAAACTACAAACGCCATTCCAGTACGTGTGCAGTGCAAACAACTAATAACAAACTTCTGTGACATGACGTCAATATCACAGAAACAAAATTTCAAGGTGGAAAGGTCACACGTCAAGAACATGCCACACAGACCCCCCCCACACACACACACACACACGACAGAGTGAGAAATGTTTTGACAGTGGGTCAGAGCTGCCATGAAAACTCAGGGGAAGTTCCACCAACTGAAAGAGAAAGGGATGAAGGACACCAGTCGGAAAAGATTATGCAACCAGTAACAACACCATGGAAACCTGGACGCAACCTTACGCTGCAGAGCTCAACAGAGCAACTGTACATGTCCGAACAACCTCCGTCAAGATCAGGATCAAGATCATATCCTGATCCTCAAACCTGCACTGAGAACATCATTAAAACTAGAGTGAGGCTCACACCTCCACCGAGGTCCAACGGTCCTCTTATGAAAGCACATTTAAATTCACCTGATCCAGATTTTTTATTTGGATCTGCAGCAAATGGCAAGATGTTAATTACGTAGTACGGTCTAGACCTTCTGGAGAAACCCAACAGTTCCCACAACCAAGCAAACATATGGGCTACAGTGGAAAGACAAAAAAACTCCCTTTCAACAGGGAGAAACCTCCAGTATGTAAGCAGCCATCTACCTCAACTGGGTGTGGTGAGAAAAATGTGGAAGGGAGAAGAGGTGGGTGTTAAATATCAGTCACCTAAACATGCCTGATTTTTTTTCTGCAAGATCCATGAATGATTCTCTGAGAAATCAAGGAGAATGTCCCAACTTGCAACATTCAAGAAACTTTGTTTTAACCCCTGATCTGGATCAGGACCAGATATTAAAGGGTGAATCCTGACCTGTATCACATCCTTTGACCAAGTTCGGTGGAAATGCGTCTGGGAGATTTTGTGTAATCTTGCTTAAAAAAACAAAACAACCAACAAACAAACAAAGTGGAGAAAACACAACCTCCTTGGCAGATGTAATAAACAATAACACAACTAAATGGGGTATAAATATTTGTTCTTACTCTTACATGGCAGACGCCGCCGTTTTAACACACTAACAGACTCATAATTGCGTGTCTAACTTTGTATTTCCAACTAAATGTGATACCGACGGAAGCTTTTCTACTTCAGTGTATTTCTGGTAAAGAACGGGCGAGGGAGAGAGGAAGAGAAGGGGGACAGGACATGAAAGGAAGTGGTTGTAAAAGTGAGAGGTTGAGGTAAGGTCATCTGGAATGAAAACTGTGATGACACATCAGCAGAAAGTGACGAAAAAATTCAAGAACAGCAGAGCTGAGCAAGAGTCAGGGCGATGTGCTACGATTCTGACTGACATGCTCTGCCTTTACCTGGTATTTTCTTTTTCGAAACGTTCAGAGGAAATTATGGGTGATTACTGGAGAGGAACTTATAGGTTAACATGTTCCAGTAAACCAAAGGGTTTGTGGGTTTGTGGGTTGTGTGTGTGTGTGTGTGTGTGTAGACTCACGCCATAGCCACATTGCTGCCATCAATGATAATGTGTCTGAGCTCTGGACGCCCCGGCTCATTCGGCAGCTTCAGAGTGTAGGGCGTCCTCAGCGACTGATGGAAACGACCCAGACCGGTCACTGGG